CACTCCCTCTCCTTGAGCATCCTTGTTCCCTGACACATGACAATATTGAAATTAGGCCAATTAATAACCCTATAATGGCCTCTAAGTGTTCAAGTGAAAGGAAGAGTTGCATGTCTCTCACTTTAAAATCAAAAGCTAGGAATCATTAAGCCCAGTGAGGAAGGCACGTCAAAAGCCAAGAGAGGCCGAAAGTTAGGCCTCTTGTGCCAAAAAGTTAGCTAAGTTGTGAACGCAAAGGAAAAGTTCTTGAAGGAAATTGAAAGTGCTATCTAGTGAACACATGAATGATAAGAAAGTGAAACAGCCTTATTGCTGATATGGAGAAAGTTCAAACCAACCACAACATTCCCTTAAACCAAAGCCTAATCCAGAGGAAGGCCCTAACTCTCTTCAATTCTATGAAGGCTGAGAAAGGTGAGAGAGCTGCAGAAGAGAAGTTTGAAGCTAGCAGAGGTTGGTTCATGAGGTTTACGGAAAGAAGCCATCTCCATAATATAAAAGTGCAAGGTGAAACAGCAAGTGCTGATGTAGAAGCTGCTTTAAGTTCCAGAAGATCTAGGTAAGATAACTGATGAAGGTGGCTACACTAAATAACAGATTTTTAACAAAGATAAAATAGCCTTACACTGGAAGGAGATGCCATCTAGGACTTTCATAACTAGAGAGTAGAAATCAATGCCTGCTTCAAAGCTTCAAAGGACAGGCTTACCCTCTTCTTAGGGGCTAATGCAGCTGGTGACTTTAAGTTGAAGCCAATGCTCATTTGCTATTCTAAAAATCTGAGGGCCCTTAAGAATTATGCCAAATCTACTCTGCCTGTGCTCCTTAAATGGAACAACAAAGCCTGGATGACAGCACATTTGTTTACAACATGGTTTACTGAATATTTTAAGCCCACTGTTGAGACATACTCCTCAGGAAAAAAAAAAGATTCCTTTCAAAATGTTACTGCTCATTGACAATGCACCTGGTTACCCAAGCGCTCTGATGGAGATGTACAAGGAGATTAATGTTGTTTTCATGCCTGCTAACACAACATCCATTCTGCAGCCAATGGATCAAGGGTAATTTTGACTTTCAAGTCTTATTATTTATGAAATACATTTCATAAGGCTAAAGCTGCCATAGATAGTGATTCCTCTGATGGATCTGGGCAAAGAAAATTGAAAACCTTTTAGAAAGGATTCATCACTCTAGATGCCATTAAGAACACCCATGATGCATGGGAGGAGGTCAAAATATCAATAATAACAGGGGTTTGGAAGTTGATTCCAACCATCATGGATGACTTTGTGGGGTTTAAGACTTCAGTGGAGGAAGTAACTGCAGATGCAGTGGAAATAGCAAGAGCACTAGAATTAGAAGTGGAGCCTGAAGATGTGACTGAATTGCTGCAATCTCATGATAAAACTTTAATGGATAAGGAGTTGCTCCTTATAGATGAGCAAAGAAAGTGCTCTCTTGAGATGGAAACCGCACCTGGTGAAGATGCTGTGAACACTGTGGAAATGACAACAAAAGGATTTAGAATATTACAAAAACTTAATTGATAAGGCAGTGGCAGGGCTTGAGAGGACTGACTCCAATTCTGAAAGACATTCTACTGTGGGCAAAATGTTACCAAACAGCATTGCATGCTACAGAGAAATCTTTCATGAAAGGAAGAGTCAATGAATGCAGCAAACTTCACTGCTGTCTTATTTTAAGACACTGCCAGAGTCACCCCAAACGTCAGCAACCACCACCTTGATGATCCATCAACATCGAGGTGGGACTCTCCACCAGCAAAAAGATTATGACTCACTGAAGGTTCAGATGATGGTTAACATTTTTTAGCAATAAAGTAATTTTTAATTAACGTATGCACATTGTTCTTTTAGACATAATGCTACTGCACACTTAATAAACTACAGTATAGTATAAACATAACTTTTATATGCACTGGAAACCAAAAAATTCGTGTGACTTCCTTTATTGTGATATTTGCTTTATTGAAGTGGTCTGGAACTGAAAATCTCTCTGAGGTATGCCTGTACTCAGATTATCTCTTGTACACAAAAGTAGGAACATCCTTTGTCAAATTATGTTTGTGTCTGGAGAACATCATCACCGCTTTAGGGGAGTGGGGTGGCATTATCCAACACCCACTAGGTATCTGGAATACTTACTTCTTCTCTGTGCCTCTTTATCTAGATAATTCATGTTCATCATTTAGGTTCAACTGAAATATCACTTCTAGAAAACTTCCTTGGACACTTCTCCTCACTAGATCGGGTAATATGCTTTCATAGAATTCTGTACTCCTCACTTCGTAGTGGTTTTCCAATTATAATTAAATATTTACATGATTTAAAAAAATATACGTCCTCCCACTAGACTACAAGCTCCACCAGGTCAGAGGCTGCACTGGCCTTACTCCCCACTGTACTTGCAGCACAGTGATTTTGGTCGCTGTACCGGGATCACTGGGAGGTTTTAGAAAGCATCAGTGCTTGGACTCCACTCCCAGAGACTCTACGTAATAGGTGTGGGTCAGGAATTGGCAGTTTCAAAAAACACCCAAGGGATTCTAAAGGCCAGTTAAGGGCTCAGAACCCTGTCTAACATAAGCTCAAAAATTATTAGTTGAAAACTAGAGAAACAAAGGCATTCTACATATGTTATGTTTAGTGATCTTTCCCAAAGACCACCGACTATGTATCTCATTTGCTGTCATTTCTTCTTGCTAAAACTATGAAGTAATTAATGGCATTAACATTTTGATGTGGCTTCAATACGGAGATATTTGAGTTTTCCTAAATATCAAGAATTAAATCAGAGCTGGAAAGTACTCAAATCCAAGCATACTAGCTCATGACAAAACTATGCTATAAATAAATAATTGTGACCTCTCCGGGTCCTTCATCCTGTATAGGACTGTTCTCACTGAAGCCTCTTGGAAACCATACACATATCACTGTTCTTTATTTTATATCATCTACTTAAGATCTCAGGCAACTGAAACTGCATTTGCCAAGGCTACCCACAATAGCCTCAGTACTAATATAAAGGGTACTTCTTATCTTACTTTTCATTTTAAAAACCTCAGTGAACACTCCCCTTCTCTTTAGTTTTGGTGACAGCAGACCCTCGTGTTTCCCTCTGGCCTCGTGACCACTCCTTCTTAGTCTCTCCTTTGCCAGCTTCTCTTCTCCTATCAGCCAATTCAGTATTGTTGTTCCTCAGGATTCTGTTCTAGCTTTTTTGTCTTTTTTCATCTTGTTGGTTGAATGTATCAACTCCCAGGGGCCACACCCAAATCTCTCTCTCTTTAAATCCAACTACCTGTTGGATAGCCCCACTTGCATGTCAGACAACTCAAAACGAACATGTCCCAAAAAATGGGGAAAAAAATAAATTTTCTCCCCTATCCGCTCACTGGAAACCTTATGGGGCAGTTCTACTATGTCCCACAGGGTTGCTATGAGTCAGAATCAACTCAGTGGCAATGGGTTTGGTATGTTCCCTAAGTCAATGGCACCACTGCCCTAACTATGTCAGACATCTGAGAACTGTCCTTGTTCCTTCCTCTTCTTCTTTCAATCAATCACCAAAGAGAATAACAAGTCTATTTCCTGGATAGCTCTCGAATCCATTCACTTCTCCACATTTCCACCACCACTATACTGGGTCAGCTGCCTGCATGATCGTACCAGCCTCCTAACTGGTTTCACTGTTTCCAGACTTGCTCCGTCTAACCCGTTCACCATATGACAGCTAGAGTGGTCTTTGAAAAAGTAAGTCTGATCGTGTCTTTCCCTTGGTTAAGATTCTTCAATGGTTCCCCTGTTACCCTCTGGATGCAGTTCAATCTCCATAAAATAGATAACAAAGTACTTCATAACCTGGCCTCAACTCTCACCATTCTGATCACATTCTGAGCTCCAGCCACACAGAGGAATTCACAATGCTTCCTCCTGTCCTGTGTACGTCTAGTCTCTCTCCCTGGAATGGTCTTGAACTCTTGCCTCCCTCCTTCCTTGATATGTAGCTAACATATAGTTCAGATCTTAAAACAAATGCCACTTCCTTCAGATCTCAGAATGTCACCTCCCTGGCCTCAAAAATCTGGACCAGATGCATTCGTAACTGCCACCACAGCATGTTGCTTGTTTCCAGTCTTAGAGGGTAGCACACTGTATTCCAAACAGTCAGCTTACCTGTCTATACCCTCCAGTATTTTGCAAGCTTCTCGTGAGCAAGGCACTTGTGTGTTGTGTTTACCACTGTGTCCTTAGCACTCAACAGTGTCTGGCACATAGTAGGCATTCAATACAATCTTTGTTGAATGACAGAATTGTAAAAATAAAAGTTGATAAGCCCACATTCGAATGTAGCTATGATTTCTTTCTTCAGATTTCCTGAGGGCCTTTGTCCTTTTGGGGTTGTTCCCTTTTCCAGGAGGTCTGGCAGGCTACTTCCTGCTCTTCTGGTTCTTACTAATATGTGACCTCTGAGACACCTTCCCAAACCAGTCACCTGAATCATTCTCCTCAGTTATTCCCCTTCAAACTATTCTGTTAGTTTTCTTCCCATCACTTACCATGGTTTTTATTTTGTTAGTTAAGTGTTCAACATCTTTCCTACTACAGAGTATGCCCATGAGGGCAGGGGCCATGTCTGTTTTACTTACCACTTTTTATCTAGTAGTTGTCATATTGCCTGGTACGAGCAGGGACTCAATATACACTGGATGAAGTAATGAAAGAATAACCTCAAGGACTAATATCATTTCTACAACATCATTATCACCTCCTCCAAAATTTTAATGGTTCCCTTAACCAAACCTTTGTCAATAGTGCTAGTCATCACAGTCACGGATATATTAAAAAAAGAGGATGGCAACAGGTACAGATATCAGGAAAATTAGGTAATAATTCCCTTAATAATTAAGCTTTGCCATCAGTCGATAAAGTGGCATTAAGGAATATCATGATAAACTGGAAGAGAAGCTGCCTTGCCTTTTAGGTCTTTTACATAGCCCTCTTTGCAACTGTGCATGAGCTGAAGGATCCACTTGTGTTGGGCTCCAATACACTGCCAAGCAGGGTCACCAGGTGCATGAAGGTCAGACAGATACCTGAAAAAGAAGTCCAGGCTGATAGCTATAAAGGAGGCTAAAAGTAAAAGCTAGCATATTTTAAAATCATTAAGTGTTTACTTTAAGAAAACCTACAATTTTATCAATTAGTAAAGCATTTGTCAATATTAGTCTTTAGTTCTCAATGAAATATATTCAAGTTTCTTTTCATACAATTAAAAAATAACAATAAATCATATTTTTTAAAAAAAAATGTCAAGGACTTTCTAGAAAGACAATCAAGAAGAAGGCGACTTGCAATGGTCCTATCTACTGAGTATGAATTTTCTTTATATTTACATTTAGTTCACAGTGTCTCCAGTTAGTGATAAGTCACTATATAAAAACGAGGTAGGAGCTAGCAAAGCACACCTAGGGGTATTTTTTAAAATTTATTCCTTTCTAGTCGTTATAGGGTTGCTATGAATCGGAATCCGCTCGGAAGGCAACAGGTTTGGTTTTGGTTATTAGAATGAAAATATGGCCACTAGATGGCAGTGTGACACTGTTTTCTATGACAATCTAGCTATGGGGCAACTGAAACTTAACAAAAAACCAAATCCGTGGGGTCGGTGGATTTTAACCCTCTAGGACAAAGTAGAACTGTCCCTAGGGTTTCCAAAGCTGTAAATCTTTATACAAGCAGACTGCCACACCTTTCTCTCATAGAGTGGCTGGTGGGTTCCAACCACAGATCGCTCAGTCAGTCATGTAAGTTGTCCAATGTGAACAGCTAGTACTGATTATGCTACACTGCTTCCTTAGAAGGCTACCTTCCCACTTCCTGGAACGCCCATCTCTTTTAATGGTACTGCTTTTTGTTTTTTAAATATTCCCATTTAATAACGTTCTCTTTCACTGATCACTAAATACTTGAAAATCAGATATCCTTTTCAAGGTTAGAACCTTCTAGAGTCTCCTCTACAGTGAGCCCTACACACTCCTGTGGCCTGACGACCCCCACCCGGTGTGTGTCAGCACTCCGCTCTATAATAGCTAGGTTACGCACAGGGAGCCGCCATCCTTACCCTGCCGTTTATGATCTGGGGTACCACAGGGCACACAATCACAACACCAAGGAGGTCTGGTAGCCACTGCTCAGGAAGAAGAAGTGACTAAGTAATGATAGGGTATTTTTCCTTTGACCACACTGTCAGGATCTTCTTACCCTTAAAAAGTGAGTATTCTACAACTATTCCCAAATTATTTAGTATGCAGAAGAATTTTGGTGTCCTATAACAGATACCTCTAAATTTCTGCTATTTTTTTTTTTTCACTTTCATATTTCCATGTCATCAGCCAGTCTCTTCGTTTCCCCCAAATTTGCTTTAAGGATTAGGTGATGTATCCAGTACCATACAGTATATGTGATTCGTCAAAATACTTGTAGAAGGCTTACCTTATATAACGTTTTTGGTCATGTAAGGTCGATGGTGTCTCAAGCAATTTATCCAGAAGTAATTCTCTTAAAGCTTCAATTCGTGTTTCTACTTCAGCATAATCTATTTTAAAAAGGAAAAAATATACAAGGGTTACAGAATGGAAACTTAAAATGAAATTATGGAACAGTAGTTGCCTTAGAAGGGTGCAGGGCATGACTGAGAAGGGACACAAGGGAACTTTCTGAAATGATGAAACCTTTCTGTATCTTGCCGGCGTGTGAGTTACATGGGTGTACGCGTTTGTCGTAACTCGCTGACCTGTAACTTGTAAGGTCTGTGCATTTCACTGCATTTAAGTTTTACCACAATAAAAAAAAAGTAAAATTAAGTTTTCTGAGTCTTTATGGATTTCATTTATGAATTTAATAAAATCCTGTGATATTTCTCCTAGCTAATAGGGCTTTACCCTACAGCATTTTAATTTAAGATTTTCCAATTTTCTGTAACTCTGGCAGTAGAAATGATTTCAAAAGTTGTGTAGTTTGCTTTAACGTAAGATCAGAACTCTTAAATACGCCTTTCTGAAGAGGGAAGATTGAAATGTAGGTTTCCATTTCTATAAAATATCTATAATATATTCTTTCCAGTAAAAGGAAGTTTTTTTAATAGAATGGTGGTTAACAAACAGCAAAGAATGGCCAAGGCTCGGATATGATTGTGGTAGCTCATTTCCACTACATCTCAGTAGAAAAGTCATCAAGTTATTTTTTGAAGTAATTGTTTTTATACTTTAAAGAGAACAGCATATAAACAAAAATTAAAACACATGCAACATTCTTTTGCAGAATACATTCCACATTCTTCCTGCAAAAGGAAAGAAGAAAATCTAGAAGTAATAAACAGATCTTACATTTCTTGAAAACCTGCACCTCCGTTTTCCCAAAGAGTGACTTGGCCTTTTCATAATCGTTAATAACCACATCATAATCACCCTTTAAAATAAAGAAACATTTTACAGATTGTCAGTAAAGCACAATGACATAAAAGCATTTGGTTAAGGTAACAAACATCTTAACAAATTTTTAAATTTATGACAACTATAACCATAGGAACATAAATATGTACTCTACCTTTTGAATATTCCTTTCAATATTCAGAGGAAGGTTGAAAAGAAACTTAAATCGCTGGAGCACGTTCAGTGCATTTCTAGTGGAATCTGCCTTGTCCTTTCGACCTAAAACTTCTTGAAATAATGTGTCTGCAGTATTACTTGCTCCTATTATAAAAGGAAAAAGGAAATTTGGATAACAGCTGACTTTAATCAGAAAATGTGTAACTGGGCACTGGAAACAAAAATGTTAGACTACTGCAGTTCTACATTAAAACTTAACGGACTATTTTTAAAAGTTAGGTATACTGGAGATCTTTTATACATTGCTAAAATACAATTTATTTCCATTTTGCCTGCTAAGTCTTTTCATATGTTAAGAATGGTATCCAATTAAAAACAAACATATTTACCATGCCCAAATAAATTCTCTAATGCAAACATACATAAAATTAGCTACTCTTCTAAATTTTATACCAATTATGGGCCCTTCAGTTATTTCATTAACTCAGCAGCTTAGCGTGCGTGAGCACACACACGCACTACATCTCACTAGTTAAATTCCATGGGTTCAATATCTACATATGTGGTAATAAATAAAACAAGAAAAATATTTTTCAAAATGTTATTCAAAAGAAATATTTTAAAATGAATCCTATTTTCTTGGTAGAATTATCTGTTTTATGTAGCAGGCACAGAAGATTACATAAAGCAATTTAAAATGACAGACTAACATACTGACTATTTTTAAAATCAATTCTTAAAAAGTTATATATGAATCAAACATTTCCTAATTTTTTTCTACCTAAAAAGACCTCAAATTATATGAATCAGAATAATGAAAGAACTGCTTTATCTAAACCAAAATTTACAGTATACAAAAATAGTTCAAATTTTTCACCTTGTGAATTATTTTTAATTAGCCACAAGGAAAGAGGAGAGAAAACATAAACTGTGTTTGGCTGTTTGATGGCTGCTTGTAAAAAGTTTTCTACATTATCTGGTCTAGTGAATGCACTTTAAGCAAAGATGAAAAAATTACATTGGTCTCACTGGGTGGCTACAGGCTATATTCTCTAGTCAGCACTGTGGGTGGCCTGACCACATCAAAAGTCATCTTCGTAAAATAACTGCTTTATCTAAATGATGTTTAAATTGTGCTGAAATTTTAAAGGCTTGATATAAAAACTTTGTTTTGTCAAGATAGTTGTTCTCACCACAGCTATTTAATGTCGAATACTGAACTTCTAATAAAAGATGAGAAAAAAATATATTCCCTTCCTTACACCAGACCACATGATGATGGGTAAATGAATATTTGATATCTGATTAGGGCTAAAATGTTTTGTTCAAAGAAAAATTTAAGGTATTTGTTTATCGTTTTAAAAATACAAACTTCATGAATTGAGGTTTCATAAATGAAGAGATATGTGAATAGGACTGAATTTTTAAAAAAGATTAATTACTTGTATGTGGACTTTAGATGGTAAGTCCCCAAGCACTTTTTTTCTATTTTTGTACAATGAAAGAATTTGGGGCAAAAAGTGTAAGAGTTCAAAATTAGGTTTTTTCTCATTTTAAGGTAATAAAAAATTATTAATAGTTTTATCTCCTCTAAAAGGCATAA